GCCCGTCTCGGCCTCCCAAAGTGCTGGGATTACAGGCTTGAGCCACCGCGCCCAGACTTTTTTTTTATTTTTTGAGATGGAGTTTCACTCTGTTGCCCAGGCTGGAGTGCAGTGGCGCGACCTTGGCTCACAGCAACCTCGGCCTCCTGGGTCCAAGCGATTTGCCTGCCTCAGTCTCCCAAGTAGCTGGGACTACAGGTGTGGGCCACCACGCCCGGTTAATTTTTTTTTTGTATTTTTAGTAGAGATGGGGTTTCATCATGTTAGCCAGGCTGGCCTCGAACTCCTGACCTCACGCAATCCGCCCACCTCGGCCTCCCAAAGTACTGGGATTACAGGTGTGAGTCACCGCCCTGGCCTCATTTACTTTTCTAACAAACCTAAGTGATAAGTACATATTAGCTCTCTTTCACAAGAAAGGAAAAAGGCTACGAGAGTTTAAAAGTTTGCACAATGTCAAAGAGTTATTATGTGACAGACACATAATTGGATTCAAATCATACTCTTCCAAATTTGAAAGCCAGTGATCCTAGCTACTCTCTATACTGGAAAAGCAAGGTTTTTCCCCTCATACCACCATTTATCTCAAATGCTAAAAGAATGTCTCCCACAGCAGGGATTAGACATCACTGTGCAGGCCATGCACCATGGCTCATGCCTATCATCTCAGCACTCCGGGAGGCCGAGGTGGGTGCATCTCTTGGGGCCAAGAGTTTGAGACTAGCCTGGGCAAGATGGTCAAACCCTGTCTCTACAAAAAATAAAAAGAAAATTAGCCCAGTGTGGTGGCATAAGCCTGTAATCCCCGCTATCCAGGAGGCTGAGGTAGGAGGATCACCTGACCCCAGGGAGGTTGAGGCTGCAGTAAGCTGTGATCACACCACTGCACTACAGCCTGGGCAACAGAGCGAGACCCTGGCTCAAAAAACAGAGAAAGAAAAGAAGAAAGAAAATAATCTCTGTGTAAATACTCTGGCGTTGCTGGCCACAGATGGTGGTCTCTATGGCATATCTTTTTTTACAACTTTCTAAAAACGTAAAACTCATTCTTAGCACATGTTAAGTGGTGCTACGGCATCTAGTGGGCAGATGCCAGGGATGCTGCTAAACAGCCTCAAATGCACAGGACAGCCCCTCACAACAAAGAATTACCTGAAGTGTCGACAGCACCGAGCCTGAGGAACTACCTGACTAAAGGCTGCCCAGATGTACCTAATAATGCTTAAAACACCACAAAAGGATCAAACTATTTCCAATTAACTTTGTCCCGCAATAAAGCTCAAAAATACTTTTTAAGAAATACAAAAATCTCAGCACCCAACAACATAAAATTCATTCTGTCTGGCATCCAATCAAACAGTACAAGGCACGCAAAGATGCAGGAATGACCAGTAACAAGGAGAAAATAAATAGAAAAAAACCCAGAAATAACACAGAAAATATAATCAAAAGACAATAACTTTAAAAAAGATATTACAAATATATTCCTATGTTGAAGGAAATGAAAAATGGAAGAACACATTAAGAAGAAACACGGA